TTTGGAACCATCTTGCGGCCATCGGGGGCTTGCCTGGGACGCTCGAGGGCCCGTCATGGAGGCCATCTTGGTGGGATCTCGTGTGTCTTGGCCGTCGGCCGTCTTGGGCCGTCGGAAGGCTGAAGCGAAACACGTGCCGAAAACCTGCAACCACCTAAAGACAATCGGTGATTTGGGCCTCTTCGAGCCTGCCTGAAGAGCACCACCAGGAGGTTCCCTGGGCCGTCTTGGAGACCTCCCAGGAGCCTCTAGGGCCGTCTTGGGCCATCTTGATGACGCCCTTGGCCGTCTTCGCTGCGTCTTGGGCCGTCTTGGAGACAGTTTGCGCCCATCTGGGGTTCTCTTGGCGCAGTAAGTGCCTCGTCGACAAAAATCATTTTCACCCTCCCCCCCCAGGGATTAGCGCGCCCCCGCGGGACATCCCAAATTACATGATTTTGCTTCACCGCTCAGGTTCCTTCAGCAACCAGACAATTCTAGCCCTCCAGTATCGCCCCTCGTCAAGCCAGTCAAATCATAGTATGCGCGCACTCGTTTATCTTAAACTGTCGTCTTCGATGGTTTCTTTTTGCAAACAATGGCGCCCAGTTCACGCGCGCACCCATGTCGACCTCATGCAAAATACATTCGTCGTGCAAGTCCGTCAACGTATACACACTTGTAGCCATAGGGACTGTCATCAAAACATCTCGCATCTATTCTGCCCGCGTGCACTTGCTGACTTCATGGGAAGACCGTTTGATTTTTGCACTCGTCCTCCACACCCCGCACCCTCATGTCACCAAGCGGTCAATTTGCGTTGCTTCAGCATGAGCCCAGTGCGCGAATCCGCATCAAAGGATCCAAGGTTGGGCCGCCCGCGCGCGCCCCCACGCGCGTATGGGAATCCTTTGAACACATTCATTTCTCGGAGCATTCCAAGATGAAGCTCTCCAGAACATATCTGGGTACCCGACCGTTTTTCAACAGCAGGTTTTTCAAAATTTGTGAATTCCTGCGCGCGCACGCTCTTCCTCACCACCGCCGTCATCAGCGCCATCGCATCGCCGCCGTCATCGTCCTCGTCCATCGCCGCCATCGCCGCCATCAGCAGCACAGCCACCTTCTTCACCGAGTCATGTCTATCATCACTTCAATTGTCGTCACCAGCATCGGCGCCGTCATTTCGTTTGCATTCGCTATCGTCATTCTTGCCACCGCCATCGCTACTATCATCATCGCTGCGGCCGTTGCCGACGTCGTCATGATACCGCGCCCGCTCGAGCCGCCGACCTGCGCAAAAGTGTCTGCGCGCCAGCGCGGCCACTGTGGCGTGTAGGGGAGTTCCCACCGGTACACGCCACTTCGGCCGCATCAGTTGTGCCAAACCAGCTTGTCGCCCTGCGCGCGAGCGTTCGCGCGCCTCCGCGGCCGTGTCCAAGCGTAGCGTGTGGCCGAGTCGGTTTGACCAGATAAGTTGCGGGTGGGAGGGTGGGATGACTGCGCGAGCAGCGGAATAGACAATTCGCGAGTTGACAACAGCTAATAGCACCGCGTACCATGCGCCACGTGCGCCACATAGCTTCCAGCACATAGTGCACCATATAGGTCGCGCCGCATACCTTGGACAGCATGTGCTGCGTAACATATCTTGCGCGACAACTTCCACCACATAGCTCGCACCGTGCTGTTTGCGCCACATTGCAATGCGTAGCTTGCTGAACATATCTTGCACAACGCAGCGAGCGAGCAACGCATATATTGCAACGCGCACAGAGTGCATCGCATAGCGTGAAACACCCTTTACTGCGCATCGAGGCTGCAATCGCTCATCGTGTGGGGACCGCGCTGTCTAACATGTTGTGTGAAAGCACCTCGTCTCATAATCGGGTTAGGTTGTTTTGCGTCATGTACCCGGCCTGTGCAGCGCTATTGTGCGTCACGGGGTTTCCATCATCCGGTTCGTACGTTTAGGTCGTCGTGCAATCGGGGCTCGCTGTGCCGTCGTAATCGGTATCCATGCTAGAGACGATCGGAGGTTGGGGGATGAGATCGCAGTGAAAGGGAGACCCCCCACCGGGAAATCGGTTTCGGTTTTGCGTTCGTGTCGTGCGTGCGGGCGAGGCGAAGCTGCGCGTTATTCTCCTATAGCTAGGCCGAAGTAGGAGCGAGAGTCCGTTACCCGTCCGCCGGTGGCTGGGAGGTGTCCTAGTTGGGCCGGGCGGTGTCCTGGGTGTTCCGGGAGTCAGTAGGAGCGAAAGTCCGTTTCCCGTCCGCTGGTGGCGGGGAGGTGTCCCAGTTGGGCCGGGCGGTGTCCCGGGTGTCCCGGGTGTCCGGGGCGTCCCGGCGCTAACGGATGTCGCTAATTGCATAATTCATTTTTTCGTTGCCTGCGGCGGGCGTTTTTAATCCAATCCAGTTCATCTTATGCAATCCATCTTGTCCAATCCAATCCATTTATCTTAACCAACTCATATTCTCCCATCTTATCGTATCCCGCGCAATCCAATCCACCCAACCCAATCCATCAATTCATTAGTTTTTGTGCTTGCGGCGGGCCAATCCAATCCGCTTTATCCAATCCAACGCCTTTCTTCCAATCCAACCCAGCGTATCTGATCCAATCCATCATATCCCATCCAATCCATTCCACCCAACCCAATCCGTGAATTTATTTTTGCTGGCTTCTGCGGCGGGTTTTTCTTATCCAATCCAGCTTATCTTATCCAATCCATCCTGTCCAATCCAACCCATATTTTATTTTCCAACCCATGTTGTCCCATCTAGTCATATCCCACCCAATCCAATCCATTTAACCCAATCCATCAACTCATTTTTTTCTGCGCCTGCGGTGGGCCTGCCCAATCCATTTTATCTGATCCAATCCACTTCTTCCAATCCAATCCATTTTATTTTATCAAATCCATCTTCTCCCATCCAATCTAATCCACCCAACCCAATCCATCAATTCATTTTTGTCGGCGCCAAGGCGCGATCGCGGCAGACTGCGAGGCTCGAGCGATCGCATTTTATGATCTCAGTCCCCCCCAACCTCCTTATCGCCCGCAGGGCGGTCGTATAGGTATTGACGTAACGGTGGCGACCGTAATGACGATGATGATGATGCAGATGGCCATCACCGTGATGTAGGAGGTCATCGTGTTCGGTTCCGACCACTGTCATGATGACGATGGCGTATGTACGAATGCGATGATGATGATGATGATGATGATGATGATGATGATGATGATGGTGATGGTGCTGAGATGACTTTTCGCGATATGGGCGACCACGATATAGAAAAGTAAGGCAAATACGGGTTCGTTGAAGATAACGTTGGCGTGGTAGATGAGTTGTTGGCGGCAGGTTGTGTGGTGGACTGCGAGCATTGAGCATGTCATCGGGCATAGCTAGTTTCGTCACGCCAGTCCCCCTCCTCGATGTAGAATGGGGGAGGACGACGAAGAGGAAATTTTGAAAAAGGAGGGGGGGAGGACGAGGTTCCGCAATACCTCTGGGGCAACGGGTAGTGCGCCTCGTGTTTTCTTTGGCTTTTCGGCGGCCATGCTTTGTTCCTGTTAAGCTGTATTGGGGACGTGCTGAGTTCATTGTGGGGTTCTATTCGGGAGCCTTTCGAGTTCTTTCTCATGACATCGCAGTGGATAAGACAAGACCTCATGGACTGCCGCACAGATGGGGCCCCGTAGATTGCGCCGATTCTCTCTGTTCGGAGTTCCAGCCAGCAACATGTCTTCGCGAGTCCAGTTTGGTAGAAGCTTGGAGATCCTCGGTCTTTCTCTGGGCTTTCCTTAGGGGGCCTTCGCGGGCCCGCTTCGGCCGTCTTGGGGCTTTCTTGGAGGGGTCCTGGGGTGCTTTTGGGGCCGTCCGTGGCTCCTCGAGAGGCTGTCTCGGGGGCCTCGAGCCTCTCCTCTCCTGGGGCCTCTTGGGCCCCCAGCGGGGCCGGTCTCGGGCCAGTCCTGGAGTGTCTGTGGCGATCCTGCGGCTCTTGCGGTCCAGTGCGGGCGCTCTTTCTCCTCAAGAGCCGTGGAGTGCAACGCGAGATGTGTGCGTGTCTCAGGTGTCCTACTGTGGGCGCTCCAGGTGCGTCTGGGTGGGTTTTTTTGGGCCCCGTGAACCCTTCTGAGTTCGTATTGAGGCGCTGACACGAATCCTGGCGCCACCTGCGGTCGTCGAGAACTTTGTTTCTCCGCCTGGAGCGCGCACATTGAGGCGACGCGGTCGCCCTGGGGCATGATCGAGAAGTGCTGCTTTCCGGGGTGGCCCTGGGGGGGGCAGCAGGCGTCGAGGCAGGTCGGTGGGGGCGAGGCCGGTGAGGGAATTGAGACAGTGTGAGTTCTAAAGTACAGTATGTCTCGCATTCACCATTCCGCTCGGTCGTGTTCACAGTCCGGTCGTGAGTTTGAAAGCGGCGCCCCCCGCCGCCAGCCACCTATGCTGAGCAGTCTTGTCCAGGAGCACGATTCTCGGTCTCGCGCCCCCAAGGGTGCCAGCGGTTATAGTCGAAGTTTGCTTCTGCCTCAAGCGCGCAGGTAATCGAGGCTATCTGATCGGTGCGCTCTGGGCTGTTTGAGACGAGATGTGGCACGCTAGGCGCGGTCGCGTCAACTCGGTGCTCCACGGGTATGCGTTCGTGCGCTCCACGGGTGCTTCACATCCATTGTGCAGCCGGGGTCAAGGCGCGCGTGCCCAGTCGCAGGGTCGTGCGTGAAGTGCCCCGGTATTTTTGATTTCAAACGCCCTTGGCCCTTGCTTGCTTCCTGGATTTGGGACACGAAGTGCTTAATCGCGGTCGTCTGGGAGGATTCCTTAGGGACAAAGTTAGAGTGGGACAGGCTCAGGGGGAGATGCGTCGATCTCCAATCTCTCATTCCTCGCCGTGGCCGTGGCCCCAGATCGGGGGAGCTGAGATGCTGTTGCTGGTGCCTGTGGTGCTGCTGCGTACTGATCCTGCTCATGCTCCTGATATCGTCGATGCTGTTACTCCTCCTCATCCTCCTTCCAGAGCCGTTTTGACAAGACCTTGTCATACGGAAAATGGCCACTATATGTGATGGCGGAGAGCCCCTCATACTGGGAGGGGCCGATGGCGTCGTCCTTCCATTGGTCCACATCAAAAGCCAGGTTCTGGGCGGCATCCTTTATTTCATCGGGCTGATCTGGTGCTTTCAAGGAGTCGGAATAATATCAGACAAATTCATGGAGGCAATCGAAAAGATCACATCCGCAAAGAAACAGGTTATGGTCAGATCCGGTACATCCAGTACTGAAGACTCAGATCCTACGAGCAAGGGCACTGAAGTTGCAACGAAGAGCGAGCCACGAATGCGGACCGTCAAGGTCTGGAATGACACAGTGGCGAACTTGACTCTGATGGCCCTGGGTTCGAGTGCACCTGAAATCCTTTTAAGCGTGATCGAGCTACTCCCGAACAAGATGAAGAGCGGCGCTCTTGGTCCATCCACCATCGTGGGCAGTGCAGCATTCAACCTCCTGATCATCACTGCAGTCTGCGTGTCAGCAATTCCAGACGGCGAGTCGCGTAGGATCAAGGACATATCGGTCTTCACAGTCACTGCGACCTTCTCTGTATTTGCATATCTGTGGCTCGTCTTCATCCTAGTGATTATCACCCCAAACGTGGTCACACCTGCTGAGGCCGTGCTTACCATCCTTTTCCTACCCATTTTGGTCATATTGGCATATTTGGCGGACATTGGCGTGTTGCACAAAGTGTTGGGTACAATCAAGCCCACCAAGAGGTTGGTTTTTACAAAGGACACTCCCAAGGAGGATTACGTCAAAATGCTCGCGCAGCTGAAGGAGAAGTACCTGAAGTTGCCCACCGAGGACCAGGAGCTGCACGTCTTGCTGCGCTACGAGTTCCCAGAGAACACCTCGCGCGCAGTGCGTCGCCAGGAGGCCAGTGGAGAGACTCAGCCGTACACCCGCCTCAAAACTGCTCCGGCTTGGTCAGGACAGGGGCTGCTGTAGTCAATGCGCTGAAGCGAGGACCATTTTGGGGCTTAGGAGGGTATCTGGTTCTCGGGCCGGTCCTCCGATTCAGGTGGGGGCGCTTTCTCCGAGTTTCTTAATAAGCGTCGGGGGGGCGTCCCCCCCACCGACAGCCCCGCATCGACCCCCGTCGCGGGCAGCCACCGCGCGCCGAAGGCGCTCCGACCCCCGTCGCGGCGCGACAACGAGGCGAGGTTGACCCCCGTCGGGGGGGTACCCCCCCACGCGTATTAAGAAACCCAGAGTACTCGTGGCCGAGGCTCCCCTGTGGCGGCCCGACGCTTCAGTTTCTCCTCCGGACTTTGCAGGGGCAGGCAAGACACGAGGAGGGAGGAAGGAGGAAGCCTTGATATCCGACGTAGCGAAAAATTGCAGCATTGTCCGGAGCCCCAGACCCCATCTTTTCGCGCCAGCTTTCGAGCCCGACCGAACTGTGAGGGCTCGGGACCTTGAGACCAGGCGAAAGCGTCTGGCTCGAGAAGAATGCGACAGCTCAAAGAAGAGACTAAAAGCGTCGCGCCTGCGCCTGCTGCCGTTTGTACCTCAAGTGGCCAGTCACTAATCTATGACTATCTGGTTTATGGTGCGCTGTCGCACTTGAGTAACGGAAGGCATCTTTCGATGGGTGCCTTTTTTGGTCCATCCCATGCCTCATCTCTTATCTACCTGCTCATACCTACGGTTTGGAGAAATCATGGAGTACTAGCACGCGCCCAACGCGTAGCACGTGGTTCGGCTTACCAACATGTTTTCAATTGGGTCCAGTGCCGACCCGAGAACTCTGCGCGGACTTCCGGCAGTGCACGTTCGTGTTATTTTTTCCGAACAACCTGTGGTGCTGGGTCCTCGTTTTGATGGGAGATCCCCGCGACTCCGCCTCCTCTTCCTCCTCCTCCTCCGCCTTTCCTCTACCATCCGTGCCTTTGCACTCCGCGCCTGACAACCATTTCGGCACACCTCTCACACGTTTTGTGGCCCCATTGGGAGCTCCACCGAAGGCCCAGACGCCAGCGCTCGCATGCGGCCACCGCGCCCATGTAGGCACATCCCTCACACGTTTTGTGGCCCAATACGGAACTCCACCGAAGGCCCAGATGCCAGCGCTCGCATGCGGCCACCGCACCCATGTGGGCACACCACTGACATGTTTCGTGGCCCCCGAGGGAGATCCACCGAAACCCCAATGCCAGCGGTCGCATGCGGAAGCCGCACCGATTTTGGCACACCCCTCACGCGCCTCGTGGCCCCATAGTGCGCTCCACCGACGGCCCAGATGCCAGCGTTCGCACGTGGCCACCGCGCCCATGTAGGCACATCCCTCACACGTTTTGTGGCCCAATACGGAACTCCACCGCAGGCCCAGATGCCAGCGCTCGCAAGCGGCCACCGCACCCATGAGGGCACACCACTCACACGTTTCGTGGCCGCCGAGGGAGATCCACCGAAACCCCAATGCCAGCGGTCGCATGCGAAAGCCGCACCCATTTTGGCACACCCCTCACGCGCCTCGTGGCCCCATAGGGCGCTCCACCGAAGACCCAGATGCCAGCGCTCGCAAGCGGCCACCGCACCAATTTTTGTACACCCCTCACACGTTTCGTGGCCCGATATGGAGCTCCACCGAAGGCCCATACGCCAGCGATCGCAGGCGACCACCACACCCCTTTGGCACACCCTTGACACGCTTCATGGCCCCCGAGGGAGGTCCACCGAATGCAGTACATCCAACGACGGTGCCCACAATTGCATATGGTTGGGTCCTTCGCCAGGCTGATTTTTGTGTGTTTCGCTACGATTTGAGCCCTTGAAGAAGCTTGGCCCCCGAGGCCCTCCGCAGCATGGCGGGGCAGCCGCGGCGGCAGGACAACTACTTGAACATTTTGGGCAAGGACGTGTCGCAGTCGATGAAGCCAAGCACCGCCAACGGCAAGGCCCAGGGTTGGGGCCAGAAAGCTGGGTCTTTCAGCTCATGGACCAGCGAGAGCCGATTTACGGCCGCCGCCCCCGCGCGTGTACCTTGTGCGGGACAGCTCGTTTGTGGGGGTGGTGCGCAAGAGTCGTGTCCCCAGGGGATGTACACAACCCCCGCTCCGCGGTTTTCTGCTGGATTAGCTCCCATGCTCCGCTAACCGTGGCTCACACTTGGCCTGGCGTTCTGTGTGTATTGAGTGGACGTTGGGGTATGTTAGCTGAGCTGGTCCGGCACGGGAGTCAGTTTCGATTCGGCTTGGTTTGCGTCGCGCCGTGCGTGCGAGGGAGGTGGAGCCGCGAGAGCAGGAAGAGAGAGATGAGTGGCCGTAGTTAACGGCATGTGCGACAAACGCTCAGTCAGTTGCAGTCGTGTTTCGTGGCCTGGTGAATGTTCCTCGGCCGTCACGTGGCTGTGCGGTTGTCCCGTGTGATTGTCCTGTGGTTGTCCTGCGGTTGCTGTCCCATGGCTTCCCTGCGACTGTTTCGGTGTTGTCTTGTGGTTGTCTCGTGCGGTTTGCGTCCCGCAGTCGCGCCGTGGTTGTCCAATGTTTTTCCAGTGGTTGTCCTGTGCTTGTCGAGTGCCTGTCGTATGGTTGGCTGGTCGCGTCTCGTGGTATTCCTGTTCTAGCTTCGTGCGGTCGTGTCGTTGTTGCCCCGCACGATCGTGTCTGGGTTGGTGCACCCTCGATGTCAACTCATATTTTGTCCCAACCCTCCCGTGATAGGTCCGCGCTTTGGGTACAGCACTGCTCGCGCAACCTCCCCGCCCCTGCCTCCGCCGACCACCTCTGGCATCTTGTGCGCTCTCCCTGGGGCTGCGACCCGCGCGACGGTCGCCCCTTTCCTGGGCTGCTCTGGGTGGCACGGCGGAGGTGAGGGCCACGGGGATCCCCTTTGAGACCTCGCGGCTCTCTCGGGGGCTGCAACCTGCGCAACCGTCGCCACTTTCGTTGGCTGCTGGGTGGCACGGCGGAGGTGAGGGCCACGGGGATCCCCTTTGAGACCTCGCGGCTCTCTCGGGGGCTGCAACCTGCGCAACCGTCGCCACTTTCGTTGGCTGCTGGGTGGCAGGGCGGAGGTGAGGGCCATGAGGATCCCCTTTGAGACCTCGCGGCTCTCTCGAGGGCTGTGACCTGCGCAGCGGACGCCAGCCACTTTCGTGGGCTGCTGGGAGGCGCGGCGGAGGTGAGGGCCACAAGGGATCCCCTTGGAGGCCTCGCGGCTCCGTCGGAGGCTGCGCACTGCGCAGCGGACGCCACTACTGTGGGCCGCTGGGAGGCACGGCGGAGTGCAGGGCAGTGCAGATCGAGCGCATCTCTCGATATGTTCTGCTGTATGGGGCGTTCATACACAGTCGCCTGGCGTGGAGAAGGGTTTGGGCACGATTCGGCTAATTTGCCTTTGATAGTCTTGAGGTCTTCGCTTCTCACGGGGCTAACCGCTCAATGTGGGCCCTGAGAACCGCCTGACCTTGCCCAAGAGGGCCCCAGGAGGCCCCCCAGGATCCCAAGGCAGCTCAAGAAAACCCGACAGCGGCCCATGTCTGTATCAAGACAGCCGGCGCGAATCGCCACGAGAGCCCCCCGGGAGTCTTCCAGAATGCCCCCGAGAAGCTCCGAGGCGGCCTCGGGGACAGCAGAAGCGGGTCTCGAGCGAGCCCGTGGGCGGCTTCAGAGGGTCTCGCGGCGGTTCAAACGTCTCCAAGACTGCCCCGGCAGATCCCCAGCAGAGGCCTGAAGAAACGCGCCTATCGAGGCCCCCGGGGGAGGCCTCGATGGGCGCCAAGAGAGGCCCACGCGGCAGCAAGCAGCGACGCATCGGCAAACAACAGCACACCAGCAACTCGCTTTTAGGCCGTCCTTGGTCGGATACAAGTGTTCGACGTGGGCTGACGAGCATCAGACTCGACGGCATATGGATCTGAATTTAGGTGGTGCGACTTTCGCTCGTTCGGAGTGTCCGCCTGTGCTCAGTTCTGCTTGCCTGCAGAGTACTATGCTTGAAGCGTACGTGTCGCCTGCAGTGGACTTCACCACTACGCGGGCGGGGAGACCAAAGGAGCCGTCCAGACCGTTGCAGCTCACTAGGGCCGAGGAGGAGGTTCATGCGTGTCCGAGGGAGGAGGTCCAGAGGCTTAAGAAGTTAAAGAACGAGGCCAATCGTCTCCGCAGAGGTTATCGACGTGAGATGATTACATGCAGATGTCCCCAGACAAAACGAAGGGTCATATGTACTAGTAAACACTTGGAGGTGGATGGGAGGGAGACGGAGGATCGTGAGGGGCGGAAGGAGGAGATCGGGCATTAGCAAGCAACGCCAAGCAGCAGCAAGTAGAGGCGGACGATAGCACACATCAGCAAAGAGAACAAGCGGCTCAAGCAGCACCGCCTCCCGGTGTGTCCAGAATGGGTTCTTCTGCACTTATGGGCCATCTTAGGTCTGCATCAGATCGTCCTGGATGCAATGTTGGGTCATCTTGGGGTAAGATTGGGCCATCTTGAGGCACTATTGCAGCCTCTTGGGGGTATCGTGGAGCCTCTTGAGGCCATATTGGGGCTGTCTTGGAGATCGTCTTTTCTCGCAGACGAGCTCCCCAAACATGTACGAACCATCTTTTGGCGATCGCTGCCGCTGGGTCGTCCAGCAAGGTCCCCAGCGGCAACCTCGCGCTCCAGCGCTAGTGATCAGCAGGGCAATTCTTCACGCTTCACCGCCCTCGGCGCCCTCCACTCCCCGTGCCTTTCGGCAGTTGCCCCGCACCGAGCTGCTCCGCACCCCGCGCAAAGACGGCACTGCCACGCTCCGTCCTGGCCCCCCCCTCCTCAGGCAGCTGGGCCCGCAGCGGCCCTGTTGGCCCTGGCTTCCTGCCCCCTTCTCCCTTCGGGCCCCCCTTCGCCAGGCGGGCGTTCCCGGTTCGCCTCTGGCGCTTGCCACGCTCATGCAGATGTCCTAGGTGAGGTGCTTAGCCCTGCTATCGGCAGTTCACTTGGCAGTTCTCTGCGTGCTGCCTTTCCGTAAGGGCGTTTGATGTCGACTTGGCAGCATCAGGCGTGTGGCCGATCCGTTCAGGATTTCGGTGTCGACCCCTTCCACCGTTTTCCTGGCTGGCTCTTCCTCTCGGTCTCGGAGAAGGGATTGGCCCGGATCTTTTCTCTCAGGAGTGAGTGTGCGACTTCGGCGGCACCACTCTTACTGGTTCCTGGTCAGTGACGTATTCCTGGCCATCGGTGTTAGTATTACCTCCTGGAGTGTGCTGCAAGCGAGCTGCCCCCTTCAGGGGCTTGGTGCATGGATGTGTCGTGTGGTTTATCCTACGTCTAGTCCTCGCCCTCAGCAGCCACTTGTCAGCGTTGTGTGCGATTTTGGTGGCGCCACTTCCATGCACTAGTTTCCTGGTCAGTGAATCCGGCCTAGAGGACACAGTCGACCTGGGAGCCAGTCTTGCCAGACAACACCGTCTGGCAGACCGACCCGGCCTGTGCTAGATTCTGCGGTGCTTGCTGGCACCCCCCCTCGGCGCCACACTCGAGCCAGCCTGGACAGGACGGGACAGGACGCTGAGTACGTGCGGTCGCGAGCGCGACGACGTGCCCTAAGGGCTCAGCGGAAGTTTATCAGCCCATCTGATCAATGGGCGTCCGCGGGCTCTGTGCCCGTTAGGTTCCCAGCTCTGGACTCCTCGCGCCCAGCACTCGTGGCTCATCTTTCCCAATGTTTGACTTCAGCGTTGCATTCTGGAGTTGCGCTCTTTGAGAGCCAGCCTGAGAGAGCTCAATCTCTTCTGTTAGGAAGCCGCAGTTGGCAACAGAGAAATGGTGCCCATGCCGCCCTGTGGACTTCCATCTGCTTCGCTTCCTACCCCCTTCTCCCTGCTCCTTGCCCCCTCCTGCCCATCGAAAGGGTTCAGTGGAACGGACTCCCTCCCCAGGGCCAGCTTCTAATCTCGAGCGTCTTTCATCGACGGCCGTCAGACGTCCTCTGGGGGGCCGAACAGCCACTCGCCGCGGCAATTCAACGTGCGAATCCTTGATCTGCTACTCCTCCTCCCCTCCCCCCTCTTCCCATTCCCTCCTCCTCCTCCTCCTCATCATCAGCAGCATCATCATCATCATCATTATCATTGTCATCATCATCATCATCATCATCATCATCATCATCATCATCATCATCATCATCATCATCATCATCATCATCATCAGGATCAGCATCATCATCATCAGGATCAGCATCATCATCATCATCATCATCAGCATCAGCATCATCATCATCATCATCATCATCATCATCATCAGCATCATCATCATCATCATCGTCATCATCATCATCATCGTCATCATCATCATCATCATCATCATCATCATCGACCTCCCTGATACTTCTCCGCCTCATTATCCTTCCTCCTGCTCCTCCTATTCCCCTCTCCCTCCCTGCTCGGTCCTCTATCCTCCTCCCTCTATCCCTTCTTCCATAACAATGAAACTCCTGCCTATCGCGACCCCGCAGGCGTGGTTGCAGGGCTCTCCAGGCGTTTCGCCCAAAGCTTGAAGTTTGTAACAACTTCCCGGACGGAGGGTGGGTCCTTTGAGAAGTGGTGTTCGCCTGGGCGCCGCGCGCCACTGTCTGAACCGTATATGTAAGGCGGGTCCTTTTCAAAACGTGACCCTCGCCCTGGCGCCTTATGCGCTCGTCATGTCGCAGGCCTGGAGATTGACACCAACACCAATTTCGGCGGTGTGCCTCCACCGAGGGAAGAAGATCCCGATCTCGGTGATGGTGGTAATATTCTGGCTTCCAAGGTGGCCGAAATATTACCACCAACACCGAAATCTAGGATCACCTTCCCGCTGTGGAGGCAACCTCCTGTCTTGGTGTTGGTGTTCAGCATGCGGCTCTCGCCCCAGCGCTGCGCACGTTCGCTTCAAAGTGTGCCAGCAATTTCACGGACAGAGGTTGGGTCCTTTTCAGAATGTGCCTCTCGCCTTCGCGCCGCGCACACCCGTGTTGAGTTCGCAACGACTTCACGGATGGAGAGCGGGGCGATTTCAAAATGTGGCTCCCGTCCCAGCGTCGCGCACATTCGTCTCAAAACATGGCAGCCGCCTCTCAGGTGGAGGGCGGTTCCTTTTCAAGATGCAGCCCTCGCCGTAGAGCCACGCACAGTCGTCTTCGTATGTGCGACAGGTTCATGAATGATTGAAGACTGTCAGGACACACCCTTCACGTTGACTCGCGATGTTGAAATCCCAGAAACGGTGTTCTGGCACGAGTGAAGATGGTCAGGACGCTA